CTCTTCAAGAGCAGAGTAGTCTGGGGCTAAAATTGATCCTTATCTTCTATTACTTATAGGAATATTTCTGTGCTTTAAAAATGCAGTCCCCATTTCTTAATTGCAGACTATCCTAATCTCAAATTAGCCTTCTGAGCAAAGGTCAGGAGTGCAGGAGTGCAGGTCTTATTGGTTCAATTAAAGGAAATAACACAAAATCAGACAGGCTATTGCAGGAGTCTTTGTCAACAACTTCCTGAATGCTGAGAGGCTGCTTAGGCATAAGATGTCTCTACAGCCAGATACTGCTGCTATTAGAAGCATGTTAGTGAGAGAAAGTTTAAAAAAATATATACATGGCTAACAGATACATTCATCTGACAGCTTTCACAGCAGAAGTCTTGGGCTGGTGCTTCTGATTAATTATTAATTAATAATTTGTTGTTTTGCTCCCTTTTTTTTTGGTGTGTTTACAACTTAGCCTTGCCTCTCTTTTTTTTTCTTTTTTTTTTTCCAAAACACACATAACAAAGCTCAGGTAACTATGCTGGTATCTGTTGTACTATTACTCACCTTAATAATGTCCTTAATAATGATGAAATGTTACGTTTCCAATAATGTACCAATAAATATTTTGGAGCTAGGGAACTGGCAGGTATGTGGGGAGGGCACTTTGTGCTAACAGCTGATAGACTGTTGTTACACTGATGAAAACAGAGGCTAATGCACTTGTGTAAAGATCCTCTTTATAAAAGTGATTTTCCTTCATTTCTTTCCTTCTTTTTTTTTTTTTTTTTTTTTTTTTTTTTTTTTTTTTTTTTTGTTTGTGTCCTTGTGCCTGAACATTTGACCCTGGAGGAGTTGGATAGAAAGATTGTTTAAAGAGCAGAGAACTGTTTATTTCAATTTTCTCCTCTTTTTTCCCCCCCTTTGCCATTCTTTTTTACAGGTAAATCACTCACAATATGGGAGAATCTCAGAAAGTTCAGAGGTTTGGGGCAGGAAACGCCTCCCCTCCCCCTGAAGTTTGGATTCAGAGCTAAATTTATCTGAATGCTGTCATTTCCCTGCTTTTCCCTCTCTACCTCCTTCATTACATTCCTCTTTCTCCCTCCCCATTCCCAGCCACCCAGACCTTATCCTTTCCTTGACCTGCAGCTCCCCCTCCCTAGCCTGCCACAGCTCTAAAATGTCCGGAGGCCTCTGCTGAAGGTGGCAGCTTCTCCTGGTGGGGCTTTTTTCATTCCTGAGCTGAAATCCCCTGCCCTCAGAGGCTGTGTCCATCAGAGATGCTAAAAGCAGGTTTGGTGGCTGCTATACAAGGAGAAGGCAGCAGTGGTGTCCGGGCTGGCTCGTGCCTTGCTGGCTGTGAGCATCTGCCTGTGATGCAGAAAAGGGCCCCTGCAGGTACAAGCAATTTGATTTAGGCAAAAAAAACCAGAAATAGGTGTTGAAGTTCAGCCAAATTTCCATGCTGCTCCTGCTTTTCCCTGACACATTCTGCACATTTGCATCACTTATCACAATCCTGAACAGGTCTGTCCTGGTAGGAAATACACGGAGTTCAGCAAGAATCCCTCTCTTTTTGTTTTTCCCCTTTTTATTTTTTTAAAATATTATAGTCTTGCACTGTGGCTATTCTAGTTTTTCACAGAAGTGGCAGGCAGCCAAAGACTGGAGTCATTATTTGCAAACTCTAAAAATAGAGTCAAGATTTATAGGAAGAAAACAGATATGTCTTGTTATAAAACCATGAATAAGGATTGGCACGAACATAACGGTTTATTCTTTTTTTGATATTGCTTATTGTGAATTGCACTCTATCTTTCTGGGAGATACACCAGATAGTTACAGTGCAGGAACGCTTCCTTTACTTGAAAGTGCTGCAAAAGTGCAGTTTATTTGTTGTAAAGACTTGGTTATTCAAAGGAAGTGATAAGAGATGAGGTTGCTCCTGGGAATTTTGCGCATTGTTGGGGTGGACAGTTTGTTTTTAAAAAAGTATCAGTGATCTTCTTCTGCAGGTCACTGCTGATAAAAATTACATTCTTCGCCCAGCAAAAAGGCACCTCGTGAGTTGCACTTTCTGGTTAATACTGCTTGTTATTGTACACCATGAGCATCACATCCCTGATCTAACTGTGGGAAATAACACTCCCTGCTCTATCTCCGTCCTTGTAGGCTCTGGCAGGGCAGCAACGAAGGGGGGGAAAAAAAAAGAGGGGAGAAAAAAGGAAAAAGAGGAGGGAGGAAGTAAGCAGAGGAAAAGAGAGAGAGAGAGACTTTCACAAAGAGTTAAAAAGGCCTGATGAAATCCTTACAATGTACACCATATGGCTTGACATTTACCAGATTAGTTAAACATTTCTACTGGGGATAAATATTCCTGCACATCGATGTAAAGAAATTGCATGAGACAAGGGCACATACAGCATATTTATGCCATGGAGTAATCTTTTTTTTTTTTTTCTTTTCTTTTTTTTCCCCCCTCCCTTCTCCTTGGCTAGCAGAATTCAGGTTACAGAGCATGTGAGGGACAAGTGTACAACCCCAAATAAACCCCAATTCTGTGCACTCCTGAGCTGCAGGTGGGGTGGCTTCCAGCATTACCCCAAACACACCTCAAAAGCCTCTCCCCCCAAAGAAAAGTTTTGAGTGAGCAATCTTGCTATAAAATAATACCAAAAGCCCAACTCTACGGAGAGGCTAAAGCATTAAAGTTTGTCAAAATCTATCTGAGCACTCGGATTGCCTGTGGAAGATGACTGTGATGGCTGCCAAAGTGATTTGAGCGGGTTGATGCAGAGGAGGTGACTGCTGGTGCCCGTGTCTGGTGTAGCCTGCCCCGCTCCTTGGTGAGCAGCCCTCAAGCCATAGATTTCATCTGATCTTTGCAAAGGCTAACATTTGTCTGCTGTCATTTTAGTGAGATTGATGACAGGCTGGGATGGGGAGGAGGAGGGGGAGCACAGCGGGAGGAAGGCTGATCCCCACAGCCCCGATAGTTGGGGCCAAGCCCATCCAGAGCCGCTGTCCTGGACTCTCTGGTCAGCTCTGGCAGGGAGTTCTTCCTGCACCACTCCAGCAGGAATTGCACGGGGTTGTTACAGGAGATTGCAGGAACTCAGAGACAGGAAGGCAGCGCTTTGCACCTTATGTATCTTAATAGATTTTTCGCATCACAAGCAACACAGGGCAAAATGTTATGACAACCATAAGAATGTAGTTTACTGTGGCTTAATGTGGCTGGGCAGTGCAGGGTAAAGCTATCAACAATTTTTAATTTTTTTTTTTTAAAGTTTCCAAGAGAAACTAACCGATGTGGACACACAGCTATTTTTATTCAAACCCTCAAATTTTGGCGAACTCTTTTTAGGCTATAGCAGAAAAGGCTTACTTTTTTTATTATTAGTAGTAGTATCCCAGTGCCAAACTACAAATCAGACACCTTCCCACTTGGAAGCTTTCTCCTGAGCTGATGTAATAGGGGAATCTTCTGCAAAGGACACATATCCCAATGTGCTGGCTGCAGCATGGAATGTGCCTTGGAAAAAAATTAGCTTTCACACTTGTGCAGGATGAAGTCCATTTATCTTTTTCCATGAATGAATGAGTGACTATCAATGCTGACATTCGATCTTACCTCCAAGTCCTACAGATTTGTGTTTCACCATGTATGTACACATGGAGGGATCTCAACACTTCTGGGAAAGAAATGCAGAGTGAATGGGTTACTGCCCTTGTGGAGAAACGTACCTGCAAATCTTAATCCCAATATTAGATAGGATACCATAGAGGCAAGGGCTGGAAGCAGCTCTAGACCCTCTCCAGAAGCTGAAGGAGAGACAGATGCATGAGCCAGTAACTGTAACAAGCTGGAATTCAAAATATGCCTGACCTAAAACCTCGGGCTGGAACATGTACAGGCTCGGGGCAAAGCTCAGCTCCAGCCCCTCATGTTGAGATTTACAGTGCTGAGACGGATGCCATGTGGATTTTAACCACCCAGTGTCCCCTCGCACCAGAATGACATCGTGTGAGGACAGGGTTTCAGCTGCAGACAGGGGAAAAATGTCATGGAGAATGTGAAAACAAGGTGTGTCCTTATTCTTGCTGGTCAGAGAAGAGCAGAGACTCCCACCTGAGTGGGAGAGGGTGGCTTGGGCCCTGCACGAACCTTGCGCTTGGGTGATCTCGGGTGGCTGGGCTGATAAAGAGGGAGCCAGAGAGATAAATACCCATACTGAGGAAAATAAGAACAGATAATGGATTGGTGCAAGTCGCAGTATATTTCCTCCTGGTGATGAAAGGCTAAGAGTGAGTTATAGATCTTTCCTCCCGATAAGAACTGATATTTCTTTCCAAATCATTTATCTATAGGATACTGAGATACTGTTTTGGTTCTTCATTGGTATTAATCGGGCTCTTTACATTCCCATCCTGGTCTTTAGCAGGTGACAACATGTTAGGGACACCAAAGGTTCTGTCTGCACCTCCCATCATTTTCATCATTGGCGCTGCTTTTCATCATTGGGAGCTGGGAAGAAAGAGGGAATGTTTATCCAGGTGTCTCAGGTGATGGTGATACAGCTATTTATGCATGACCAGGGTTTAAATCTTGCTTTGTTCAGGTCCTTAGTGTACAAGAAGCATTACAAGATCTGTTACTGCTCTGGGATAGAACTAACTTTAAAATACCACAAACATTTACACGTTCGAGTGATACGACAGGTGTGTGCAAGGGCAGGAAACCGTGTGGGGGGAAAAATGCAGCGTGGTCTTCTCAGCTGGGAAAGATCAGAGCACCAGGCTTGATAGTGAGGGGAAACGGCTTTTAAAACTTTAATTATTTTGTTAATAGCATTACTACTGAGTAGACACAGTTTATAATTTAGTAGACGGCTGTTTCCCGGCTCCCTTCCCCCGGGGCGGCGGCTGGGGCCTGGCGGGAGCGGCGCGCGCCCGCCCTCACGGAGGTGCTGCCATCTTGAGCACAGGGTGGAAACACTCGGGGTGAGGGGAGGAGAGCCGAAACAAGAGGAAAGCACAAATAAACTGGGGCCAGGCAGGGTCTGGGGCCGTGGGATGAGGGGTTTAGGGACACACGGGTGCCATGTCCCAGCGTGAGGGCTGTTTGTGGGCAGAGCAGTCAGCGGGACAAGGGGCCTCTGGTGTGTTTTCACCTGCTGCAACCTCAGCCTTTGCTGCCTTGCTGAAACTTCTGCTTTTGGATCTTCAGAGAAATCTTTGGAGTGGTCAGTAAATCCTAATGTTGCGCTTGCCCTGGTTTATGAGATTTCCAGGAGATTTGTCACTTGGTGGATCAAGCAGCTCTGAGGGCACAGGTTTGGGCTGACAGGGGAGGACTCTACGGTCTCCATCTCGTTAAAATGAGCTTTAGGTTCAGTACATTAACGTGTTGATAAGAGAGCCCTGTGTTCCCACACTGCTCTTAAAGGCCTGCTCACACTGCTGACCTGACCTCCTTAATCCTGGCTTTCCTGGAGGAAAAGCTGATCCATCAGGCCTCCTGTACCTAAAATGGGATGAAAGGGAGTGATGGGTCTGGGTCTATTTCAATGCTGGTGTTTCTCAGGCACCTCAAGCAGCCTTGTTCTTTTTCCCTGGAAAGGAAAAAAAAAGGAAAAAAAACCTCTCTAGATGTGAGGGCTCAAATCACTGAAGATGAGAAGCAGCAAAAGGAAATAAAGAGGTCAAACACCTAAGTTAGCTTATGATTAAAAAGAAATTAGTGGGGCTATTTTTAATTTGTTTAAATATATTACTTTCTATTAAAGAGGTCTTTATATTTCACTAAGTATGAAATGAAGTGTGTCACCAGAGGAGGATTTTTTTTCAGTTTTAGTATCTTTTCTCTTCAAAAGTTAGAAGTCTGATGCCACCGAATCACAAATGAGGAGACAGCAGGAATGGAAGCAACATGGGACTTTTCCTCTACAATACACCGCAGTTGTCTTCCAGTTGGGCTGGTTTGCAGGAAATCAGGGAAGAAAGACGTAGACTGTGCATAGCAGGTGTGTTGTGGGGAGATCTGTGGTACCACACAGCCCCCCAAATACACAACCTAGAGTGTTGTGCAGCCTTGGGAGCCAAAACTCTGCATCTCTGCCCTCAGACCCATCCCAAGGTGCTGGGTCCCAGCCCAAGGCACTGCTGGGAGCCCCCTCAGAGGCTGGAATGCGTCTCGTATCTGAGTTTAGCTGCCAGATCTTACGTCTTTTTTTGTTAAATCTGCTAGACTATGGATATTTTTGGGCTGCAGCTGACAGAAATTAGAAAGGATAGTTGTAAATGAAGTTTTGTAATGCCAGAAGTCTATGACGGAGCTTTTAGAATCAGTGCAAAGCTGAACGGTGATCTGAGTGTTCCAAGGCTTTCCATGAGATGGCTGGTTTTTCCATTTCTCTTTTCTTTCTTTTCTTAAATGCAGTTCCTTGAGAATAAACACAGCAACTGGGTGAGACTGCAAACCTGTGAGGCTGTGAGGGAAATACACCATAAGGTTTGAATAAAAATAATAAAATGTTGGTTAGGAATTTGTCACAAAGCTCCAAAACAATGCAAACACCCTCAGTCTCTTGTTTTGTTCCCAGCTGGGAAGCCAGACCAGAGTCACTGAACATTTCACCAAGTCTTGCTAACCTTCTGAGCTGAGTTGTGAGAAATTGTTCTTGACATCACATGAGCTGGGCCACAAGGCAGGACTAATGTGATATTTGCTGTCGAAGGTTTCCTAGGAAACATGCTACTTAGAGCACTCAGCCCTCCCTGCCACCCTTCCCACATCCTCCAGCTTCCTTTGCTCCCACAGGTTTTGCAGGGGGCAGGGATGTCCCCTCTGACCTCTGGACACCCTTGGCTCAGACCTCCCCTCTTCCCAGCTGAGCAGAGAGGGGCTGTGGAGATTCTGAAGCTCACCCACCTAATTGCCCTTTTTCCCCTGACTGACCTCTTTTTTTTTTTTGTTTTTCCCCAGCACTCTGCAGTGGGAGAAGTGAGAGAATCTGAGCGACATCCTGCAAGACTGGAGATGGAGAGGAAGAAGTTTGAGCCTTCTCAGTGAACTTAAGCTTTCCTGCCACAGGGGAGCTGGTGGAAAAAGGTTAGGGAGATCAGCAGATAACTTACAACTTAACTTGCCACATATTTTGCCAGCAGTTTGCAATGCAGTAGCTGCTATGGTACATAACCCATAAGCATTTTTCAGCAGAATGGAGTTCCCCAATTCCTTCCCATAATTTCACCTGGTAGGTGCCGTCCTTGACATCAGCCCTGCAAAATCATTCCTGCCATCCAGGCCAAACTTTTCAGCTTGGCCATTTGGAGCAGCAGGAGAGTTCCCATTGAGGATGGGATGAATGGAGTCAGTTCACACATGTTAACCAAATGCAAATCCTTCGATGGAAACTCATGGTCAGCTTTTTCCACTGCTATTTTCAGAACTTCCACAAAAGACCGTGCTGTGATTATATGTATTCATGATATGTATATCATGTATTCAGCTCAAACAATATTTGAATGATGCATTTAGACTCCTTCCTAAAAAAGGACCATGCTTCTGTAAACTGCATCATATTTGTAAAAAGAGGGGGGAAAAAAATCTAGCTTGCTTTTCCTTTCTTCTTCTCTTTCTTTTTAATATATCTTTTGATAAGGCTGTAAGAATTGGTGTTAATGCCGCATTACACACAGACACACTTCTACATAATCACATGCATTTGCCTGTATTCCATACATAAACAACCCTATGGAATCCCGACTCTTCATTGTTAAGTTTGTCTCCATATTTTTCAAAGCAAAGCAGCTCTGGGTGTCAAACAGTTGCTTTTTTCACTCTCGTTCACTGGGCTTTGTGGAAAACGCAGCCAGACAAATAATGCATTGGGAGTTTTGAGGGTTGGCTGGGTTTTTTTGGTTTGTTTTATTTTGTTTGTTTGTTTGTTTTGCCATTATTGGGGGGTTTTTGGTGTTTTTGTCTCTATTTTTGATTTTGGTAGCGGCTTGGGTTTTTTGGTATGTTTTTTATATATTTATTTTGGTTTTTATACTTGGCCATTTGAAACTGCCTCTTTTACCTCTTGTCTCCTCCACTGATAAAGCACCATCTTCATGACTTTGTCATCAAGTGCCAATATTGATTTCCCCAGCCCCTGGAAGGCCCAGAATGTCACCTCCTTGATGCTCCCTGAAGCCACTGGCTTGGAAAACAGGAGCACTCAGGTTGCTGTTGCCAGACGCTGGTTTCCCATCTAGTGGAAAGGAGACAAGTAGCCCCAAGTCACTGGGCTGATTCATCTCTCTCCACGGTGCCGTTCCCTTCGCCTCCCTGCGTGTCTGTGTAGTGAAGCTGTGTGGCCAACATGCCCTGTGTGCCTTGTCTTGGTAATCAAAGTGCAGGGGGTGGGGAAGAAATTCCATTCTGGATCATTTGGCTCTACCTTCAGTTGGCATCCCGAAGATTGGGGTGCCTTTTGGGCTGGCTTTCCAGTGTGCCTTCAGGCTCAGGAGAGCAGCACCTGCTGGGCCCTGCAAAGCCAGTGAGGCCTCACCTGTAAGTCTGGGCAGAATTAGGGTCTTTGTGGTCAGAGAAGGAAAATCAGCAACACTCTTTTCTTTCTGTTCCAGTCCAGAAAAGATTCCTCCAGGTGTGAAGTCTGATGTCAGTCAGCTTCAGAGAAACATCACCAGCTGAGCTGAGGATCTGCAAGCAGCTCTCAGGTCTGTACCAATCTCTTAGATCAGCACTTTTCTTTGTAGAGTCACTTTTTCCTTGCATGGAATCATGATTTGCAACTCAGCTTCTGCCTGTGAGATACCATCATGAAACCACATTGCTCATAGAAGGCAGAACCGTTCTGTGTTATGAGGCTGCCCAACATGTGAGATTCTGGTGGTCACCCAGACCATTTGTTGTTTTCAGAGCACTCTCAGAATGCCAGTCCTTCTGGCACCATGTGTAACCTGCGTCAGGGGCTGTTGTTAAACCCCACTGCCAGCTGAGGGAGAGAGGAAAGGAGATACAAAACCACAGCTTGAGTTATTGTTAGAGACAGGACTGGGACTCGGCATTTCCTGGGCAGATTACCACCCTTCACTTCTCCCTCAGCTGGTATAATTAGCAGTGTCCTGGATCTCTCTTATTCCCATGCAAGCACACATCTGAATGCATTTTTCTTTGAAATTGTCTGTCTTGGGGTCAGTTGTGCTGTGCACTTCAGGCTGTTGATGATCTGTTGTCTGCAGTGAAATGCTCACTGGTACACTGTAAATCATGAGGAGATGCAAAGGCATCCATTTGTTACTACTGATTCGATCTCTGTGGATTTTTGGAATGGGCTACCTGTAAAACTTTGGGAGCCAAGTCTCAAAAAAACCCCAATCCTTTGTGGCTCTTTAATTTTTTTGTTCTTGGCTGCTAGCCATGCAGACGGATGTCTTACATCCTTGAGATGAACTTAGTGCAGTCCTCATTGACCTAGCAAGCCATTTTTTCCCTGATGACAAGCTGGGATCACATTTTGTAATGACTGCTGCAAGATTGTCTTGTTAGGGAAAGGGCTAAGGTGGGATCGTCTTTAATGACAATGAAAGCACCTCATAAAACCCGATTCTTCGGTTTTACAGGCATGGCTGTAAGAATTTTAGCCAATGCAGACTTAGTAAATCAGTCAGTCAAAAATTATATCAGTTGAAGTATAATGTTCATGGCAGTCCAAAAACCTGAACATGTAGGTGATTTGGAGGGCATTTTGTTAACTCTTTAATTGGTCGTTTGAGTGCTGGAGGCAGTAGCTAATTGCCTGTAGGTCAGAGTAGTCCTAGAGCTTAGGTAAATGTGTATTGTCATATGTCACATTTTCATATGGCTCCTTTGCACAGGTTGGTAAAAATGATTGCTGCATAATTAAAATTAAGACAAGGTGGGAAAAGTGATTCAATTAAACCCCTGAAGCCATTGCACAAATTATCTGAAGTACCAAAAACTAATGAATAGTTAAAACTAGTTTTATCTTTTTACTCCTCATTCCTGAATCCTGAGGGTATCAAAATGGCTGAAGTCTCTCTCAGAGTTCTCAGAGGTGAGATTTTGGGTGGGCAGTGCAAGTATGAGTCAGCACAGAGGAATCCAGGCCTTTTAAAATACCAGCACACAGAAACTTTGTTACCTACTTGTTTGGAATTGAAAATAACCAGACCTTACGCACAAGAGACCTTTTGGTTTCTCCACCAGCCCAGAATTATTTTGAAAACATCTGCAATATTTCACTCTGCATGCAGCAGGTATTATATACCAGGGAGGGTGATGACAGTAAAAATAAATGAGATATGTTGTAACCAAAACATCCCAAGTTTTACATCATACATTTCACAAGCCTAGCAAGCATCCTGTGCTTTGACTTGAAGGCTGAGGGCATGTGGTAGTTTTACAAATGTCTATTAGTATTAACAAATATGTTCCATTATTAGACAGTGTGCCACTGCCCCAACCTCCCAGTGCAAGAGGTGACTTAATATGGCTTATAAAATACAAGAGTGCTGCAGGCACAAACTGTGGAAATCAGAGCCCTGCCTATGCAGGAGGTCTCATTACATTTTGTGGGACAACTTACTAGAGGCCTGAACATGAGCATTAAAGCTGCCTCCCAGCTAAGGCTTTTTATGGTTCCTGTCCTTTCCCAGAGCCATACAGCTCTAGGAGGTTTGGAGCAGCCAGGTCTGCACCTTTGGATACTGGCAGTGTGCTGATTCTGACCGCATTTCAAATGAGAGGATTGAGATGGGTACGTTTGCACTGGCCCTTTGCTTTTTAACAGAATTGTAGGAGCCTGAAAGTAGCAGGGCACTGAGGAACTGTGCTCTTGTTGCTTTTTGGGTTTGTCTTTAGGGTTTTTTTTATTTTTTCTTGTGTGGCTCTGTGCTGGTAGCTGTAAACCCCCATTTCTTGGAAACAAGAGTGTTTCTTGGCTGGGTTTCCCAGGACTGTGAGTGTCTGTACAGAGAAGACCCAATGTGTTGAAACTGTACAAAACAGTGAATCTTTCAAGGAAGTAAAAAAAGTCTGGTTGCTCTTCATGTGAACATATACTGCCCTGCAAGATCCCTAAAATATGCCGTGGTAGGGGCTGTGTCCATCCATCCAAGTGGAGGTGTCCGTAGACATTTCCCCTAGAGGGATGGTGTGGATGCACAGTGCTGCTTTGTGTTTCCACCTCTTTGGAAGTGATTCTCACCCTGCATATGAAACAGTTAAAAACCCTCTTCTGATGCTTATCCAAACTTAATCAGAAACCTTAAATAGGAACTAATTTACTGTCACAGGTAGCATGTTCATCTTAGTACTAGTTTTATCAAACCAAAAAAAAAAAAGTCCCTGCTGAGGACCAGGGCGATTCAGGGAATAATAGGTTATGAAAACATGATGATGTCAACTCACTAGATGAGTCTTGCATTAATGGGTAAAGCTTCTGTAGGTAGAAAAAATAAACCTTCCTAAAGATTTCTGTGGATCAAAACCACAAGAGATGAGGGGAGCAGAGAAAAAGGAGAAAACTGAAACACTGAAAGCGTTCAAATCACGTGAGCTCTCTGCTTTGCCATGCTTCCTAGGGGGAAAACAAACAGCCAGGCATTGCCAGGATTGTCCTAGAAAGTCAAAAATGTGAGTGGACAAGTTGCAGTTTCCCCCCAAAAACGTTTTTTCTTCAGTTTTTTTTGATATGTGTTCAGCCTAGACTGCTGGTAGGCAGAGATAAAATTTCCACCGCCTGTGATTCAAGAAAAACACTGCTTATGTCATTAAACAGAGTGTTTTTCTGTGGCCTTTTCTATATGGTCTTGGCTTGAGACCACCCAAACTCCAGGTGAAGCAGTGCTTGGGACAGGTCGAGCTTTTCCTTCCACTCCAAGGCATAAGCAGCAGGCTGCAGCTGATTTTGTAAATGCAGACTGGTATTTTTAGTAGGCTACCAACAAAAAACAGGTTATGGGATGGGCTGCTATGGATTGTACTAAGAGAGTGCTGAAATTGCTGCCCTGCATATAGGAATGTGGAAATGACCCAGGAGTGTTTGGGATGTCTTTGTGAATTTCATGTAAGTGCATAGTATAATACTACGTTTGTGGAGATGTATATGGCAATACCATGCAGGACTAATATGAGACATAAAAGTTGTTAAAAGACATTATGTGACACATGCACAATTTTTCCTCTGGGTACAGAGAGTGAGTCAAGGTCATGGCACCAAATTCATCTTTCAAAAGTTTCTTATTTCACTGACTGTGGAAGGCTTGGACCACTGCCCTGTATTTACTATAAAAGTACATATTTAAAGCTATTATAAAACCCCCCAATCGTATTTTGATCTGTTAATAAAGACCTTTTAAAAGAAAAAATGCAAGCTTTTGCCACCAGCCAGGTCCATTCCCATGTCATACCCTGCAAATAGCAAGTGTATGAAAAGGTTTAAAACTTGGATTGAGGAATGCAGCCAGGGTTGCTGGTTCAGGAGCCAGGAGCACAACCCCTGCCTGCTGGGCTTTGTGGAGAAGACCTACACTATCAAAGCTCTGGAAGGTAAAGGAATGCATCAGGGCTTTGAAGAAATTCTTCTAAAAGCCTCTGGAATTACAAAGACGGTGAGAAAGGCTTTCCACAGCCTTTCTGGAAATGCCCTGTGAGTCACTGGTGGGTTCCCCTGGGAGCTGAAGGAGGCAGCAGGAAGCAGGTAATGGCCTATTAAATTTGATAGGATGTGCTTTGGTGGTGGGTGGTGGGACCACGACATTTCCATGTTTTCACTAGTGAGCAGCAGAAGGATTTGCAGGTTGTGCTTCCTTTGGGGTGCATTTTCCATGTTTTTAATGCATGAGACAAACTTAAACCTCGTTTCCAGTGAGGCTGGAGTCCCACCATCCTTGTGTTACGTCAGGGAGCACACCCCTTGCTCACAACAATGCCATGTGCAAGGACCAGAACCTTAGACTGCTTGAGATAAGAGTTCTTGGGTCAGCCCAAATGAAGGGCAGGGATGTGAGCTATTCCTTTAGCAGTGGGGTTGCCCAGGGATACAACTGGAAGGGGAGGCCTGCTCTGCCATGGGTAGAGCTAGTGATGTTCCAGCCTTTCCAAGAGGATAATGTTCTTTGGGTGTTGCCACCTTCTCATGGCTTATACATGAGGTGAGAGCAAGGCTGAAAAAACCCTGCTGGGTGCCCAGAAAGGGACAAAGTTAATAATGACCAGTGTGGAAAGAAAGATTAGACGTGAATAGAATTGGATTGATTGCCTTAGACAACTTTATGGCTTTGCTTTCCTTCCTAAAGCTTTTTTGTGGGTTCTTTTTTAGTAAAATAAATCACTGCTCACAAGATAGCACATACAGCAAATATGTCAGAGTATTTTTGGTGGCTCACAATTAGCCTTGATAACCCAAAGGATGGAGGCTGGCATATGCCATGGGTGGAGTCAGGATATTGTGCATCTTTGTGTCTGTGGACGTGTGACAGATTTCTTCAGTCAGATGCAGGCCAGGCTGAATTTAGCCACCTTGGCCTGGATATTATCCATGTGGCTAAAATTGCCAGATCATTTACCCTGGAAATTATTGCAGTGGTGCACTGCCAAATGCACAGTTGTATTGTTCCTTTGCTTCGTGCTGTTGGGTGTTAAATGTACCTCTGAGCCTTAAGCAAGTCTTGATTGAGTGTTTTTTGTTTAC